TTCTTGGTTTTTTGCATTTCTGGTATCTTTTTTTGGATGTTTACTCATTTTGGCAGGGAGTGTCACTGTGTACAGGTTTGACCCTATGGCTAACTAAGGTATGGCTGTGTTTGTCAATTTGGTTTTCCTACTCTGTGACTGCTCAGATGGCCCTTAGTGTTCTATATGTGTGTTTGCCTTGGGACCTGGGCCTTACTGGGAAGTTTCCTCTCTGGTCAGCTCTGGGAGTTCTCCGTGTTCCTTGAGTTCTGGCCCTGGCAGCTGGATCCTGTCCTGCCAGCCCAACAGGGTGTGTGAGATCTGTAAGTCTCTGCCTCGCTATCCGGGCATTTCCCCTCTCTGTGTGCACAGGCCTCCCGGGGGGTGCGTCTTTTTTCTGAGACTCCTCCTCCTTTGCCGGACCCCTCCCCTCTCTGTGCGCTCAATACAGGGCTGGGGCGTGTCTTCTGCAGTCCTTGTCTCTCAGCCCCGCCCGGCCCCGAAGGGGTCTCAGGCCTCCGCCACAGACACTGTGGGCGTTCCTGCGGCCCTGGTCAAGGTCCTCTCTGGGCCTCCCACCTTCCCCCCGGCATCATGGCCCCCTGCGTGGTTGAGTTATCTCCCAGACCAGGACGCGAGCACCCCGGGGGAGGATCCCACAGCACACAGTTCATCTTTGAATCCCCCCGGCGTGAGCCAGCTCGGCGCCCTCAGGCCATCAGCTCTCCGGCAGGTTCAAGTGGGCTCGGGGGGCACCCCGGTCACCCCTCTCCCAACCAGAAATCAGTCTGGGGTTTTTCCAAACTGAAGGCCACAGAGATGGTATCTGCCTCCCGGAAGCAGGGAGTTTACCTGGGGTCGAGGCCCCAGGTGTGGGGGAGTGACAGTCTGGCCGGGATCCTCTTCCCTGCCCTCCCGACGCTGGCCTGGGGTTCCCCACGCCACCAGCCCCACCAGAGATCCGCGGGTGGAGTGGGATTGGTGGCCAGTCCACAGGCCCCGGGGGGCCCCGCACTGAGGCACACAAAAAAAATGGGTTACATTTTAAAGTTCTTATAGTCTGGGTTGTATGGAGCTCAAAGCCTTGTTTTCCCATAGAAATGTTAAACGTGATTAATTCAGAGAATTGCCCATAAAAATCCATTTAACATACAATAAAATTAAAAGCTAAAGGAGCATTCATTTGAATTTTTAAAAATTATAAAATTCTATCTTTGCAACTTGGAGAAAAGGATGAATGGGGAAATACATCAGATGAACACTTTTGTACAGATTTTGATACTTTTAAGTATTTACATGGACAATAGAAACTGATGTTACAGCTTCTTTATTTTGTTGCTATTTCTCCTCCAGACAGGTGGCATTCTTTTTCCTTTGATACAGGTCCAGCATTGGCACTTTGCTTTTGCTTATTAGCCATGGTTATGGATGCTCTTGGGCCCACACATGAAGTGGAGAGAGACTAGAAAGTGTTGGCTTTAGGTGTTTCTGTGGTTACTAGGGAAGAGATGTAGAAGGGAAGGGAAGGAGGGAAGAAGAATAAGAAGGTATATGCATGAATGAGTATATGAGTATTGCTGACATTACATGAGTTGTAAATGCTGAGAGACAAAGGAAAAAGGAATATGGGATGTTTGGTCTTTAAGGAGAAAAAGGAGTGAGGCAAAGAAACAATTGGTCAGACGGCTTTCCACTTGGTTGCTGTTCCTAATGAGCTAGAGGAGGATAGGCGATCTTGCTGAGCATGAACCAGTGTGAATGGGGGAAGGGAAAATGACAGCTTTATTTATTGCCTGCCATGTACCAGGCCCTGCTCTGGTGCATGTTAAATATAGGCCAGATGCTTTGTATTTTATCTTAATTTAAACCTCATAACAATCTTCTGAGGTGTGCATTTTTATTCCCACTTTATTGAAGAAGAAACTGAGGCTCATAAAGGTTTAGTAACTTGCCACACGTCATGCAGAACCAGAATTGAACCCAGTTCTGCCTGGTCTGAAAAGTGTTTCCAATGAATGGGGGTAAGTGTGGGGTATTGTCAGTGGGAAGAAAGTGGGGCTGTGGGGACAGCCCATGTAGTCTCTTCTTTTTCCTAGTCAGAAAATTAAATGGAGGAAGCAGCAGTAGAGGCTTGATTGGGAGCTTATATCTCTACTTGTCTACCTTTTTCTAAGAGCTGTTAATTCACAGTAGCCTTTTATGTTTGAAAAGGAACTGTAGGGATGTTCCCTGGGTGGTATGGAGACTGTCAGAGGGTGGAGGGGAGTGACCTGCCCCGATGTTCGTGCTGAGACAGCCCAAAGGGCGACGGGGAATTGGGGACAAGTTAGGGGGTTACCATTGGCTCTGAACTGTCGAAGGGGGACACTGTGGTGGTGTTGGGGAGAGGTACAAGGAAAAGTGAAAAGTGGTCATAAAAACAACAGAGTGGTGCATCTGTGAGGAGGTCAGTGAGTTGGATGGGGTGGAGTTCTGGAAACAGATGCAGGGGGTTATGTATGGTGTGCCAGCAGGCGTCAGATGGATGCCTCTAGGGTCTGTGGAAAGGGGACCCTGATCTACAATATGTGACTATTGACTGAAGAGGCACATTCAACAAACATGCCAGAGTCTACAATTCCAAATAAACCCCATTTTGTCAAGCCCTCTCCTGGGAGGTCAGATAGACTCCAGTGTGCCTATGTCTCAACACATCTTTAGGACACTTTCCAGAATTGCTTAGGGCTTCTGGGACTGTCTTCTGCATTCTTTAACTGGTGACAAAACTTTGTTTTCTGAGAGTGAAATTTGATTCTGAGAAACAACCAAAAAATCATCCAGAGCCAAGTCCTGTGAATTACATTGGTGATTAAACCATATGACTGAATTTTGGGTGGAAAATGACAACTGACGGTAAATGAATGAAGATGATTTTCTTGCATCCTGGCAGATTATTTTAAAATAATCTCTCATTACACTGTAGTCAGAGTCCATACAATATTTTAAAAAAATATTTTAAATTGAAAAGCTCTTTACAAACCAGGAAATTCAGTTACAGGCCAGCCTGGCCACTCTCTGCATCAGTGGTGTACACACCTCCCATCCAGGACACGCTCGCTTACCCTAGAAGGATTTCCTGCTCACCTCCAGTCGGCCAGCTGCTGGGTGCCTGTCATGGTCTCAGGAATCACAGTCGCATGCTGCACTGATGTGTGGGTGGCCACTCCAGTCAGCTGCTGCCACGCTGGGGGAAGCAGGATCTGCTGGGTCCCACTTGGCCAGGCCTGCTGTGGAACAAAAGACATTTGCAATCACCATGTTTATTAATCACATAATCGATTTGCATGAATCCAGCACCTATTCTGTGCCCAGGGTCATGCTGGACTCTGTGATGGGTGTGAAAGTGAAGACTGGTCTCTGGCCTCAGAAAGTAAGTTAAGGGGAGATAAAATTAACATATATGAGCCAAACAGAAGATCATTAAGTACAGGGGCACAGAGTTGTGTGGAAGGGATTTGCTCTAATGAACAATGCTCAGTTTCCACAAGTTGACTTGTGGAAACTTTTTTTTTTCCTTTTTGTCTTTTTTCGTGTCCGGCAATGGATCACAACCCTCAGTGTCGTGCCCATACCGGACCAGGACCGGCAACGGGATCGCAACCCACAGTGTTGCGCCCGCACCTCGCTCAGCCAGTGAGCGGGAACCGGTCTGTATGTGGGATCCGAACCCTCGGGCGGGAGCGCCACCGCGCTCCCAAGCGGCGCACTGTAGTAGTGCGCCACCAGGCCGGCCCAACTTGTGGAAACTTTAATTGAGTTGCTAAACTTTATAAACTTCCATTTATTGACTTGCTCTGTCACACGACTGTGTGAGAGGGCTTGAGGTTATTGAGTTGGGCCAGAGGAAGGTGTCTCCTTTCCCTCAAGAAGCTTTCTATCTAGTGTCCTTCATTTGTTATTTTACCTTTTGTTTATCAGTTAGAATCTAGAGTTTCAACTTGCATTATCTTCTGAATCTAAGTTTACACAATTCTGAGATTACCAAATATCTGGAACTGGCCTGCATCTGAGAGTAAGCAAATATGAAGTAAAATTCTTAGCTGGGACCTTCAGCTTAATTGAGAATTACCTCAAATGCTCAAAGCAAAAATGGGAGATAGTCAGAAGTCACCATTTGAATCTTTATAATATTAAGGTTTTTCTAAGAAACCTAAAATGAACTTTTATGATTCTTCCTTAAATAGACTTACTGGTGTGTGTGTGTGTGTGTGTGTGTGTGTGTGTGTGTGTGTGTGTGTGTGTGTGTGTGTGTGTGTGTGTGTGTGTGTGTGTGTGCGTGCGCGCGCGCGCACTGTGCTTTAAGCTCCCTGTTTCCTCAATCACTATTCTGCTTGCCTGTGGTCACTAAATGATTCAGACTGAACACAAGGGTCCAAAGGTGGACACTTAAAGGACCACCACTAAACTAAAATACCTCTTGGGTAGGTCAAGGATTTGAAGATTTGTTACCTTACTTATATCTCTCTCTTTCCATCAGGCTGAGCATGACTAACATCTAATTTTTCTAATGCAGTGCTCTTAACTGTGCATGTGTTTAATATGTATGTTTTGACTCATATGTACAAACAGTTCTGGAAATGGGCTACAAATTTAAGTCAAGGCTTAAAAAGCAGTGATACTTATAAAAATGATATAATCACATTTTAGATATAAGTGGCCAGTTCACCAGTTCCATCATTTTCATGTTGCAAATAAGGCCCAGTGAGATCTCTTAAACTTTTTGATATTGCTTGTTTGCTTTTTGATCTGTTTTGACATAAGAAGAAAGCTCAGGGACCACAGATCATGCCGTAAGAGCTTAATAAATATCTGTTGATAAAATGAAAGCAACTATACCAAGGCTATTAACTATAGTTAATTGTATTTCAGGTTTACTGACTTCACAGTAAGCAGAAAAATAATTTAATTGATTAAAACAGTTGCAAATTCAAAATATTAAATGACTAACAATTTTATTGGCAGTAAGATTTCTATTGACTTAGTTGTCTGGAACTCATTTTAGATGTCATGAAAAGCATGATTTTTGTCTGTCATTCAAAAAAAATCTTGATATTAAGCTATATTCATTATTTTTTTCTATTTCCCTGAAATGGATATTAGCATTTTGCCTGAAAGTGATGGGGTAAAATGTTGTTTTTGACCTTTTTCACTGATTGATATGTTCAGCTCATTTAAAACAATACTTTATCAGACATTTCTATAATTAATTACTACTACTAAGAATGCAGCTATTATTTCTTGATGCATATTGTGTACTGTGCACAGAGTGAAGTTATAAATGGGTTTTCTAACTTCTTCACACCAATCCTGTGAGGTAGAGACTATTATTTCCTCGCATTTCTCAGATGAATAAACTGAGACACAGAGAGGTTGAATAACTTGCCCAGAAATATAATAAATTAAATATATACATTTGTTGCTCTCTCTAAACCCAACTAAAATGATAGTGAAGGAGTAAAAAAAAAAAAAAATACAGATTCATATGGGCAAAGAGAACAGGGGACACACAATATAAAAATAAACAAAATTTCAGAAGCTGGAAAACAGGTGGACAATTACTAAGTGAGTTAGCAGACTGAAGAAATGTAAAGTCAAGTCTGTGTATTGAACCTCTAAGTTCCCAAATCCTTGTTGTGCAGGTTTATACCTCCCCAAAGCAGGAGGCTGGAAGATTCTCTCTAGGGAAACTGAGTAGTCCAACAGAAAAGAACCACAGATATGACATTTGAGGATCAGGGGATCTGCCAGTGAAAATGCTGGGCTTGCTCCTTATTAGCCTATAGGGAAGCCCACATTCAGTAGTCCTCCCCTTGTTTCTCAGCTTTCCAATTAGTTTTTTAGTGCTTTAGTCATAAATATGAATAAACAGTCAGGGATCACTGGACATTAGAGGAAGCTTCTAACATGAATGAGACTAAAACAAATAAAAAAAGAAACTCAGAGGAAATAAAAACAGTGTAGGAATCAGAAAATTTCCAAAACTCTATAATTAATGTCCACACAGAGTTAAAAAAAAAAAAAAAATCCATGAAACAAGATCATACAGAGAAATATATATCTATATATCAATATCTGTATTCAGAGAACAAGAAAGAACTCTTGGAAATGAGAAAGATGACAACAGAAATTAACAATTCAAAAGAAGGTTTAAGGGCCATCCCATGGCTCACTTGGGAGAGTGTGGTGCTGATAACACCAAGTCCATGGGTTCAGATCCCTATATAGGGATGTCTGGTTAGCTCACTGTGGAGAGTGTGGTGCTCACAACACCAAGTCAAGGGTTAAGATCCCCTTACTGGTCATCTTTTTTTTTTTTTTTTTTTAAAAAGGTAGGTTTAAAAGAAAGTTGAATAAATCACCTAGAAAGTAGTGTAGACAGAAGATAGAGGGAAAAAGATAAGAAAGTTAGAAGATCAATTTAGAAGGACCAATACCCAATTAATAAGAATTTTGCAAAGGAGGAACAAAGAAAATGGAGGGGAAGAAATTATCAAAGGAAAAATACAATTTTTTAAAAGGGCAAATAGGGTGTCCAGGACAATGTATGAAAAAAAGACCCACAAGGAAGTACGTAATCATGAAATTTGAGACTACTGCGGACAAGCAGAAAGTCTTAAAGGCTTCAGAGAGAAAAAAATAATAGACACTGAACTCAAGACATCAACACATCAAACATACAGACCTTTTATAGATCTGGAAGGGTTTGGGACTGCATAATAGATATACAGAAAACTAACCCAATGAAAAAATGAGACAACCATTAACTCCAGGGAAAACAAGAAGTTGTACAAGAAAGGAAATAAAATTACAGTACACTGAGGCTCAGCTGAGAATAATGTTATATAATACTGGTGATAATTATGTAAATATTACAAAGTGGTTGAATCAAAAATTATATGGGAGGAATGAAAGAAAGAAAGAGTGAGTGAGAAAGAGGGAGTGGGAGAGAGCCTGTTTGTGTGTTATGGAGATTGGAGTGGGTTGGAGAGCTAAATCTTCATTTTTCAAAATAGGGTCAATTGGTAATACTAAACTGGAAAAATCAATAAAATGCAGGCTAAGCATGTTATTTAGAACATGGAGTTAAAAAACATTAAATAGTTAAATTAGAAATTATTGTTTTGAGGTAGTAGAAATTAAGGATGGGATAGAACAGAGGACTACTATTTTCTTATAAGTTTGTGATATCATTTAACTTTTAAAAATTATGTTCCTGGGCCGGCCGGGTGGCGCACTGCTACAGTGCGCCGCTTGGGAGCGCGGTGGCGCTCCCGCCGAGGGTTTGGATCCCACATACAGTGGTTCCCATGAGTGGTTCCCGCTCACTGGCTGAGCGAGGTGTGGGCACAGCACCGAGGGTTGCGATCCCGTTGCTGGTTCCCATGAGTGGTTCCCGCTCACTGGCTGAGCGAGGTGTGGGCGCAGCACCGAGGGTTGCGATCCCGTTGCCGGTCCCGGTCCGGTACGGGCGCGACACTGAGGGTTGCGATCCGTTGCCGGACATGAAAAAAGACAAAAAGGAAAAAAAAAAAATAAAAATAAAAAATAAAAATTATGTTCCTGTATTACTTTGAAAAACAATTAGATTTAAACTTCAAAAATATTCTCCCCAAAGTCAGACAGCCAGTAAGTGGTGGGGGTGGCATCTGAATATAAGCAATCTAATTCCAGAGCACATGCTATCAGCCAATATACTACCTTTATTTATGGAGATAATACACAAAAATGATGGCCCCTATTTGGGATTAGGCATTGGTAGTAATTGCATAAATGTGGCATGAACAAGTCTTCCTTATTCACAAACAACATCAGGTGCCAAGCCATATAGAAGCAGACAGCAAGGCAATGGTTGGAAAGACTGGTTGGGGAAAATGTAATCCAAGAGGTTTTGAGTTAGAAGCATGGGAGTTTTGTGTTTTGGGCACTCAAAGAGTTCAAGCCAAGAGTTTGTCCTTAGGGAAACACTTAAAGGGGTTTAGGTGACATGATTTTTTTTTTTTTTCCTTTTTGTCTTTTTTCGTGACCTGTAACGGGATCGCAACCATCGGTGTCGCGCCTGCACCGCACTCAACCAGTGAGCAGACCGGTCTCCATATGGGATCTGAACCCTCAGCGGGAGCGCCGCTGCACTCCTAAGCGCTGCACTCTACTGAGTGCGCCACCAGGCCAGCCCCTAGGTGATACGATTTGATTGGCTAGAACAATGCAAAAAATTTCTTCATGGAAGGGTGGATGTCTACAAGGATCTGGCACTTCTGCATTTCTGATCCAGCCTTGCTAGTCAAAGGGGGTTTTGGATCCTGCCATTTGAGAAGTGATATAAACTCAATACTGTCTCAATCAAGAACTGCATTCCCATCTCTCCACCTTTACCTTCTTATTCACAATTTCTATTGGTGGCCAAGATGCTAGGTGTGACTTGGGGCTTGGGAGGATAGAAGTCACAGCTTCTCTGTGGCAGTACTAAAAAACTTGCTTCATAAGGTGATCCGTAGGATCACTCCCATGTCACTGACATGAGAGCATGTGATAACCACTCCCTCCTACCATGCACCTCTTCACGGTACCCCAAGGGGACTGTTTCCCTCAAAGGGACATGTGATGCTGGGAAGTGGGAAGGTAAAGAGCAAAGAAAATGAAATTAACATGAGCAATATATTAAGTGACTCCATCTCTAAATGCTCACTAATAAAATCCTTGAAAAAGTTTTAAATATTTAGATAAAAAGAACGATGTCGAGTTTTTGTATACATTTAAAGCAAATAATAGTATTTGGAATGCAGCTGCCAGATATCTAGACATCTACTCATAGAAAAATGAAGGCTTCAGTTTGAATATTTAATTATTGCTTTTGTATAGCTGCCATACTAGTTTTATAAGTTAACTTATTTTTGTCCTTTGAAAGGATCATTTAAAAATATCTAGGAGAGTCCCACCTTAACAGGCTAATATACTAGCACAGATTAAGTGACAAGCAGAGAGAAGAAGTACCAGTCAACAAACAAAAAGACACAATGTGAGACTGGATAGTGCAGGATTTTTTTACCTAATATATCTTAGAAATCTTTGCATGTCAAGACACATAGGTCTACCATGTCCTTTTTAATGGCTATGTGGTGTTCTATTTTATGTGTGCACCAATTTATTTAACAAATATCCCACTGATGAACATTTAAATTGCTTCTAACAGTTCCCTGTTACAAAAACTGTAGTAATTAAAAACTCTGTACATATATTTTCTGTTCACTTTCCCAATTACAGCTTTAGGCTAAATCCACTTGGAAATTTACAACACTCTAGGGACTCTTTTTCAAGTAAGCAAAAGGTAAAGCTCTCTCCTGCTATGAATAAAGGACTGAAATCAATAGGCTGAGCCTATTGGTTCCACCAAACTGAACAATGAAGAATGTCTATTTTAGCTAATAAGAGGTGCTGATTATTTCTTTCAAAGATGGTTCCTAGCTTACTAGGGTTAAGTGTGCAAACACAAAAAAAGGATCTATAACTACCCTTTAAGGTGCATGTGAATAGGTGAATTCTGTAGATTTTGGCTCACAGAGGAGGAACACTGGGAGGTTGGTCTGGATTTGTGCCACTCAGATAAAGTATGAACAGGCTTCTTTACCCATGGAGTTAGCTGTACTTTTCTCGATCTACCTTGGTCTTTTCTGAACTGTTCACTACTGAACTATGAAAACAAAAGGAAGCTACAAGGACAGATGAGAGAGGAAGGAATAGAAGGCTGGCTTTAAATACAGAAGGTTCTCTATTTACAGACTTTCAATGAGACAAAATTTTGTGTGGCATAAATCAACTGGCGTTAGTGATCACTTGCTCAGTGTCAGTCTGGATGTAAGAACAAAGCAACAAAGAATGGTTAATATCAACCTCAAACAAGCTGTTCCAGAAAACAGAAGAGGAGGTAATAATATCCAACACATCTTGTACTGAAATCAGAAAAGGATTCTATAAGAAAGGGAGATTATGAACATAGATGCAAAAATGCTAACTATAGTATTTATGAACTGAATCCATTAAAAGCATACCATTATATCAAACATGGCATGATTAAATAAAGTTTTTGTCATAAATACAAGGCTAGTTTAACATTACAAAATCTACTAATGCAACTTGTCACATTAACAGATTAGGGAACAAAGAACACAAGTTTTCTAATAGCTGCAAAAAGAACATTTGAAAGAATTCACAATTCATTAAAAACTTAAGAAGTCACAGAAATAATGAAAGCTAATCAGAGTTTAGAAGGATTGAGATAACAAAGTCAACAGACCAAAGTCAGTTATATTCCTATAAACCAAAGACAAATAATTAGGAAGAATGTAATTAATAAAATTATTAGCAACAAAAATGTACTTAGAAATTATTTTAACCAAAAAAACTTCATTAAAATAATGTACAGAGTTATATAATGTTCATGGATTAAATGACAATATTATAAAGACATCAATTGTTCCTTAGAGTAAATATAAATTCAATGCCAATCCAATAAATGTAAATCAGGTTTTCTGTTTTTGGAACTAAAATTCTCATGGAAGAGTGATGTTAAAATTCATATGGAAAAGTGAAGGGACAAGAACAGACGAGGTAAATTTGAAGAACTCTATGGGAACAAGGTTTTCCCTACCAGATACAAGACATATATTAAAGTTATAAAGGACAACCAGGCAAGCAATGGAGCATGTGATGACCACTCCCTCCTACCATGCACCTCTTCACAGTGCCCCAAGAGGACTGTTTCCCTAAAAGGGACATGTGATCCTGGGAGGTGGGAAGGAAAAGAGCAAAGAAAATGAAATTAACATGAGAAATGTATTCAGTGACTCCATCTCTAAATGCTCACTAATAAAATCCAGCTGTCCAGGATCTTGAGACAGGAGCTGTGGGCCTTAGCCCTACCCTACCCCACTCCCCACAGTGACAACGTCTTAGAATGTACTTATTAGCCACGTGTATTTCTCTGACGTGTGTGACTTATCTGCTCATGTCCTTCACCAAATTTCTGCTTAGATTTTTCTAATTCATTTTAAAGAGTTCTTTTTGCATTAGGGATGTAAATCTTTGAGTGTTAAATTTATTCCTTATCAACTGACTTCAAACTTATGTTTTCCTTTGTTTCTATGTTGAGAAAATAATTTTCTATCTAAACATTAAATTAAAAAAAATTATATCTCAATAAAGCTATAGAATGAAAGTGAAAAAAAAAAAAAAAGGTTATAATGGTTGAGACAATAGGCTATTAGAGAGGCCAGTGGAATAGAAGAGAGCCCAGAACATACCTATGCAAATTTGACTACACATAAAAATTAAAACAACAACAACAAAAAAAACTACATCTGTTTAACAAGACATCATAAATAAATTGTCTTTGGGAAGACTTTGGGAATCTACCTTATTTAAAAATGAAGGTGCTTCTAAACTAACAACATTTAGGTCAAGCTGTCCTTGATGCCCAACAATAAAAATGATTATACAGAAGTAGTATAGCATGGTGGTTAAACTACAGATACTGGTGTCAGACTTCTTGGGTTTGTGTCCTGGTTCTGTCACGTAATTGCTATGTGACTTTGAGCAAATTATTGTGTTTCAGTTTCCCTACTTGTCAAATGGAGAGAAACCTTACTGTATTGTTGTGCAGATTAAATCAATTAACAATTGTAGAGTGCCTGGTACTTTATGATGATGTATTTGTTATTACCATTCAAGTGTCATTAAGGGTTGATTACTATTATCAGTGCATCAGTACTGCCATCTTAAATTTGCATAACACTTTAGAAATTTTAGAAACTTTAGAAATTTTCAACCGTTTTTCATCATCACGGTCTCTATATGGTTTTTCAACTATAAAATGAGGAGGTAATCTCCAAGGCTTCTTTTGGCTCTAAAAAATCATTTCTATTTTATAAGAAAGAAATTTGAGGCAAGGAGATGTTAACTGACTTGCCTCAGGTCATAGACTTACTAGCAGAGTAAGATTAAAACCTAGGCCTTCCAGATTAATTTGCATTACAAAGATATAATTATAATATTTTCCCCAGACTCTCTCTGTATCTAAATTTCTTTTTGGAATTGTAAGCAGATACTTAGGAAGGTAATTCACTTGGGGATCATTTAGAATATTACAGGTATTTTCCAGTGACTGGAAGCACCTAACTCATTACTAGGGAGGGGGTTAGTAGAGATATATCTCTTTTGTGAGTACCATTAACATGGATAATGGTAATACCAGTAATAATAAAGTAGAAAGAATTACCTGGGCAAGCAGACCTGGTTGGATCTGAAGAGGCTGCGCTCCTGGGGCTTGAGTGACGATGGGAACCGCATTTTCCATCCGCACTGAATAGCCGGCATGCTTAGAGGGGGAGGCCTGCAAGCCTGTGCCAGACAATGGCGGAGGGAGAGAGGTGTTAGCTGAGTGATTGGAAACAGCCACATGAAGAGACCCTTCTTAGCAGCTGGGTCATCTTTTAACTCCTCTTTGCATCAGTCCCCACCCAATAACCAGGTATTGCCGGCTCCTTGGGAAGTTTCCCATTTAGTTTCTAACTTAAATACACAACCAAAAAAAACTCCCCCCAAAACCTTGAAATAAATGCTTTCAAAGGCTAGAAATTCATAAGTCTATAAGGCCTAAAGTGGAACAATTATGCTGACAAATTACAACAGGAAAACAAGGGCTTCAGACCATCAAGATATATCCTTGTATGTCAAAGCAAGGGGTGTCGAGGAGAGAATGGATGAGTCCATTTGGAATTGCATTGACTGAAACTGAGCAACCACACTCATGCTTACACCATGGGGTTGGCAAAAATATATTCTTGAGCTTTCTGTGTAAACTATAACAAAGGACACAGTGAACTCTACCTTCTTAGAGTCTACAGGAGAAGAGTGTTGGGGTCGTGGCCAAAGAATCATTTTGGGGAGGGGACTCTGGGAGGTACTTTTTGAACAGATTTATATTCTTCATGTGAACTGGGACTATGTTGGCTGTCAGAGATTGGCAATTTTCTATAGCTCCACACAGAGGATATTTCATGTGAGATATTGTCATGCAAGAGCTGACATCAGCATAACAATGGGAACACAAACAATGTGCTTATTTACGGACAGCTGGCCAAGGACACAATCCCCGGCAGGTGGTGAGAATAACAACAAATTGACTTGGTACTGAAGCAAAGTCCTATTGTTTCTAGGTTGGCCACAGTAGGACAGGAGCCCTCAAGCTCAGCGATGCCAGTGTTCTCATTGAAAGAAACGAAGAGGGCTTTCCTTCGTGAAAGTAAGCATGACCGAAAACTGCAGGTGCCAGAGCCCTAGAGGTCAGACTGTAAGAAGAGGCTGAGAGCTGTGTCTGCTCATCCTTACCTTGGAAGCCAGGGGGACACACGATGAGAGCTTGCTGGAAGGGGTCAGGCCGGGCACAGATCTGGGCAGTTCCTGTCTGCAGGGGCATGCTCCGCTGGGCCACTGCAGCCATGGATGCCGCTGAGGGCTGGTAGAGTGTAGATTGGTAGTTTAGTATGGAGACTTCGGGATTGGCTAAGGAAATAGTGGCACTGGTGGAGGTGGGAGCCTAAAGGAATGATGGGGATTAAACAAAAATAAAAATAAAAAATGAGGGAGAGGCTATGTTGGGAGACATGAATCTAAATCAAATAAATGAACTCAAAGAAGAACAAACCAAAACCAAGAGCAAAAAAGCAAAAACAGAGAGGAGTGGAAATCCAATTGAAAGTCTCAGGAAAAAGCAGGCGCCCGAAGCCACAGGAGACACAGAATCACCTTTGGTGTTTACATTCAGGCCTGCTCCTACATTTGTCGGGCCCTGACGAGCACAAACGGACGCCTGCACACCATCTGTCTCAATACTGAAAAGGGAGGCTAGAAAACTGTTCAGTAAAATGTTCTGCCTTTCCACTTTGATAAATACACTTTCCCAGCAACCTGGAAGTCTGGGTTTGAGCTGTGGATTCTTGAATTCATTGGGCTGTGCACTGCCAGATGGTGACCAGGGAAAGCCAAGCCCTGCCTTCCTTCTCCCTGCCCCAGCTCCATCCCACAAGTGGGGGGCTTTGAGTGCAGTTCACATGACCAAGCTCTGCTCACACTCCCTTCTCCTTGGATCTGTCTGTGCAGTCCACACTCGGGAGGACAAATCGAGGAAGAGGCTCCTAAGGGCCTTAAAGGCCCAGGGTCCCAGGTACCCAGGACTTGGCATGGAGGCCTATATAACAGGAGGAGAGCCAGAGCAGGGCCTGGGAAGAGGCCCTGCTGCTCAGGTCTAAGGGTGGTACTGTTTGCAGATATCCTTAGATGGCTGCAGAGCATAGCTACTGCAAAGAGATGTAGTAGAAACACACAGAGAGGGAGAGGGACACGCTGAGACTGGGGGTTCTTGTCTGAGTTCCGTGCACTTATGCTGGTCTTCACTTACACAGAGAAAAGATGCTAGTGAATCAAGAGAATTTAAATGGAAATGGGTTTGGGCTGGCCCGTAGCTCACTTGGGATAGTGTGGTGTTGATAACACCAAGGTCACGGGTTCGGATCCCTGTATAGGGATGGCCGGTTAGCTCGCTTCTGAGAGTGTGGTGCTGACAACACCAATTAAGGGTTAAAATCCCCTCACCTGTAATCTTTTTTTTTTTTTTTTTTTTTTTTTCGTGACCGGTAAGGGGTTTTCAACCCTTGGCTTGGTGTCGCCCGCACCGCACTCAGCCAGTGAGCACACCGGCCACTCCTATATAGGATCCAAACCCGCGGCGGGAGCGTCACTGCGCTCCCAGCACAGCACTCTCCCGAGTGCGCCACGGGGTCGGCCCCACCTGTAATCTTTTTTAAAAATAAATAAATAAAAAGAAATGGAGATGGGTTGACAAGTACAAGCCATCAAAATTGTCCTCTCTCCTTTTTCTTTCAGAGAGACATCATTTGAGATTGAACCTCATGTGAAGCAAGGCTACAGAAGGAAAATAAAGTCTACGTTGGGAATTCTCCAGCTTCTCCCCATCTTAGTCTTCTTTACTCTGATCCTTTAGCAAGGTAGGTGGAGGTTACAAATGGCTTCAAATTCAACATTGTCTACCAGAGACTTTGCCTGAAGGGCCGGCCTGTGGCTCACTCGGGAGAGTGTGGTGCTGATAACACCAAGGCCACAGGTTCAGATCCCATATAGGGATGGCTGGTTTGCTCACCGGCTGAGCGTGGTGCTGACAACACCAAGCCAAGGGTTGAGATCCCCTTACCAGTCATCTTTAAAAAAAAAAAGAGATATTTTGCCTGAGAAGTTATTAGGACTATCAGGACTAGAGAATAAGGAAAGAGCCACAAGGATATCTTGGACACACACACAAATAGAATTTCAAGTAGGGTATGTGCCAAATAAAAAGGACAAAGTCTCATTTTACATTTGTCTTTATACTTAGAAAGATTTTGTGCTGAATTTTAGTGCAAAGCAAATTAATTTGTTTGAAAATAATAATTAAATTATGTGGCTTACATGTTTGGGTTTTAAGATACATATTTTATTTTTTTAATTTTTTATGGTGGCTGGCCAGTACAGGGATATGAACCCTTGACCTTAAGATACATATTTTAAAATGTGTGTGTTTTGGCAGCATCACATGGTCAGCTCCAGGTAGTGTGTGTGCACTCATGTGGGAGTCAGCATCTGTGTTGTTACTGACAACACGACTTGTATTTCCCCTGTCTTCCCCATACCACCACCTCTTCTGGAGGCTTCCCACTGTCTGCTCTGATACTACATGCTGAAGTCCAGACTCTCCTCAGGCCTTAGCACTTGTGGGTTTCCCTGTGTGGGGCCTGGGCCCTGGCACTAATATCCTCTAGGTTCCCAAGCTAGTCCTCAGCGATTCCACGTTCTGTTCAGTCACTGCTCGTACTGTTTCTTCCTTCCAAATGTCACTGGAACTCAGGACATTTGCTACTTCTTGCTGCCTGGGACCTATAAGGCCCTGACTAGTGATGTTCTGACCTCTCTTTCCCCTCCTCCAATTCTTCTTGGGCACAGGGGCTAGATCACTCTTTCCAAAATACTACTTTGTGCATGTCAGCATCCCTGCTCAAAAATTCCCAGTGGCTGCCTAATGAACATAGCATATGCACCTTGGTCTGGCACTGCTGGTTTTCCACTGTTTGGCCAACCTTCCTTTCTAAATGTATCTCCCTCTGCTCTCCAGCTGTTGGCACCAGGCAGATTAGTCTACTCATTGTTTACCCAGCTTACTATGTGCATAGGCCTTTCATCTCACACAAACCTTTTGGCCCACAGCATTCTCTCCTAGCCTCTGTGTCCCAAGGCCTAGCCTGGGTCCCATGTGCTCCACAGTGAAACCCTTCCTGACACCATCAATGGAAATGAATTGTTCCTTTTTTTTTGCTCTCACATAGTACAGTTTAGCCTCTGGCCCAGCTCTTGTCACAATCTGCCTTACAGTACAGTTATTCTCTCTATACTGAAGTCTCCTTGGAAGGGAGGGGCTGTGTCTTACTGGTGTTTTACTCCAGCCTGCAGTGGTTTCTCCTTCCTCTTGATTCTATAACACAGTCTGTTTGTTTTACCTGGTCCTTAATTCATGCTATTCTTATTTTGATTTATCTATTTTTGCTTATGGCCTGACTCACCAGGGAGACCACGAGCTCCCTGAGAGGTTGAACCTTCCAGCTCTTTGTAGACTCAAGGACAGATGGAACTTTTGTCCTGATATGGGCCCCAGTCTCCATTGTGACCATTAGACAGGTAGATGGTTGTCCCCAGTTTCTAATCCCGCTTAAGGATCAGCTGGAGAAGCACATGTGAGAGTGACAAAGTTTTCTACTTCTCTAAATACTCCATAGTTCTTAGAAAGGAAACTAGCCTATCACCTACTAGAGAGGAGCATAGAGAGAACTGGTAAGAGCTGTTGCAGCTGACAAATAGAAATAATAAGAAAGGGCAAGTTTTTAGTAACATTGGTTTTCCAAAAATGGAAGAAGTGATTCCTGGAAGCAGCTGTAGCAGATGTTTAAATGGTTTTTACATCCAGAAGAAAGAGATCTGAGCTTGGCCTGTAAACCCAAATTAAAATTCTTGGTAGAAGGCTAGGTCCAAATAATAGAATACCATGGAAATGTTAAAGAAGTGTCTGATCCACAGGATTAAACAAGGAATCCCCAAGAGAGGACTCCTTATTCAATGTTACTAATTGTGCAACCTAAAAGTTTTAGAAAGTAGAGGAAGTCAGCTTCCTTGAGACAGAAAGGATTATAGATTAGTGACCATTTGGAAAAAGGTCCTTTGGTTAGTCTACTGGATATATGTTAAGGGCAGCAGGTAATGATTTATATAGTTTAATGTCCTTCTACTTCTAACATAAAACTATGGATATGTGTTATTGCTTCTAAATATCCAAATGGGCAAACAACTCCAAGGAGCTCATGTAGAAAGCAAGCTACCAGAACCACTAATGAACAAACGAAGTATTGCTGGATTTAAAGAGCAGACACACCATCTAAGAAAGGCATTTAAAGACCTCCATAAGACATATCTGGTGCTGTGTGTGTATTTTAAGAGTCCAGATTCTGAAGCCAGATTGCTGGTTCAAAGCCCAAGCCCATCTCTCATGAATTAAGAGAGTAGCCTGGGGTATGAGAATTGATTTCTCTGTGCTTCACTCTCTTCCTCTAACATGGGAATGATAATAGTAATAATACCTCTCTCACAATGTTGCTGGGAGGATTAAGAGTTATGACATGTTTACAAATGTTCAATAAATGTCAGCTATTACTAACGTTATTATTTAATAACATTATCAGAGGAGAGAAAGCATGCCTTAGTGTTTAAGCCTAGGCATATCCTGAGTAATTCTTTTTTTCCGGGGTATTCAAAAGTAGGGTATAGTAGAATCCATTGCCAGAAGATGGAGATCCTGTTTTTGGACCCCTCGCTTTTGTAGGATGTCATTTTCCCTTACCTGATACTCTGGCTCAAGCACTGTACTAAATTACCAGTCACTTCTCTACCCCAGTCCCGAGCCAGATTTGGATGGTCTCAGTGCTATGTGGGGAAGAGGGGTGTTCTTATTCAACAACTGCCTTTTTGATGAGAAGCCTTTTAGTTTTGCAGAGTCTCTGATACACTCTTTGGAATAGATGTGCTGCCCGTCACATCGTGAGTAAGATGGAGGTGGCCTCCTCTCGTATGGTCAGGGACCCCAGGACCACAGCTCTCCAGTCTAGCAGAGAGACATCCATGGAAAGGATGGCCTGATGGGGACACTCAACCTGACATACTGTGCACATCTGAGGACCACCTCCCCCACTGTCTCTTAGAATGCTTTGACACTGGATGAGGTGGACAGATGGCAGATGAGGATAGGCAGTTTGGAGTTAGAGAGTTAAGATCAGTTGTCTCATGAGGACTGTGGGAAAAACATACCTCTTCAGGAAGGTAATGAACAAAACCATGATGATATTTTGTCAGGAAGCTCACATGTCTGGCTGTGGATGCCTTAGCCTTAGGGCTGGGCGGGAATGTTTGTTTCTTTGGCCTCTAAGCATTAGAGAGCATTGGCTCTTCACTGTAAGGAGATCTTTGAGAACACTAATGGCCCCCAGGGGGCAGCAGATTCCAAGTGGTCGTTCCTAGAGTTTGGGCAGAGGGAGAGATGACAGCCTGGGAAATAAAGCTAGGCCTTAGCAACCCAACGTGCCACAGAAATGGCCCGGGAAAACAGAATGGGTGGGGGGAGTGACTGAAAAGCAGGGGTCAGGGACTCTTCAGTGACAGGAGGAGACTATCAAAAAAGAGTGGATGGCCAGGTGAAAGTATGCACACTTCAGGTTTAAACATACACTCCTCTCCTCTGGAGGAGTGTGTATGTGTGCACACACACAGGGGGTTGGTATCATTACAGATTGATGTTAAGACTGAAAAATCTAGGGACACTTCTTTGGGGGAACCAGCAAGATAGAAGTAAAAGGAAAAGTCTCTTAGATACTAGAGAAAGTCTGAGCTAGGACTTGGAGATTATTCATTCAATAAATATTTCCTGGGTGTCATCCATGTTTTAAGCAGTATATTAGCTTCTGGCTTCTGCCAGTTTTCTGCAAAAGGCTGGAAATCTGAGTTTCCTGGTCCCTTTTAGTTCCAGCTGATGGTATTCTGATGACAGACTGATAAACTGTTTCCCCATGTCTGGGAAAAAAGAAGTTTTATCTGCTCTAAAGAGAGATCATGTGGACCCAGCAGTGTGGGGATGAGGGGAGGGGCCTGAACTAGATGATTACCTGAGTCCCTGCCAGTTCTAGAATTCTTTACCAGGCAGATATCAGGTATAAAGGATCACAGTATCTCCTTTACCCTATTCCCACATCAGGACAGAAGAAAGCGGTAAAAGGTACCATCTTAGAAACAACTCCCTCCGTGAGTTTTTTCTGGGACTTTTCAGTGGTGCCAGTAGTCAATACAAAGAGTGCCTGGGTCTCTCAAAGGAAATAACCTTGGAAGCAACCACATCAGGACAGAAGAAAGCGGTAAAAGGTACCATCTTAGAAACAACTCCCTCCGTGAGTTTTTTCTGGGACTTTTCAATGGTGCCAGTAGTCAATACAAAGAGTGCCTGGGTCTCTCAAAGGAAATAACCTTGGAAGCAAATACTTTCTTATATAATCTAATATGACACCAGAGGAATTTTGTCTCCTTATTGGGTTTGGTGGGAAAACATGAGTCCTGATGCTCAGAGCGTGCAGATCCACCTGCCTTTCCCCTCTCCCTCCCACTTACCTGGTTGTGGACAGTGGTCAGCTGGTTGTTAAAGGTCATGGTCAGGTTGGTAGATGTGCTGGGGGCCACGTGTGTGATGAAAGGGGTTTTGCTCTGGTTCACCGTGTCATACATATTCACCCGACGCTTGCAAATTTCCATGTTCTGGAAACATGATTTGACACTATTCGCGCAAAAGGCAGAGGCAGATAGAGACATAAAGCAAAGGGAAGAGGATAATGTGGGATAAAGGGGAGAAAATGGAGAGAGAAAAGGGGAGAATGGTTAATGTAGTATATAAGACAACCAGGGAAACTTAACTTCACGCTTAAATTTCCTGTATTTCTTGTGTAAAGTCTGTGCATTTGCATCAGTCAACGTTATTTAGACGAATTTCCCCCATTGTTCTACTACCCTTTCTCCCCACCCTGGCTGGGTGAAGGTTCTATGTATCACAGCAGACCTGACTACTCTCACTGCCTTTCCCTCACATAGCTGACTCGCCTATACCGTCTCTGCTAATCCTCAACTTTCAGTGTGGTTTCTGGCCCATAAACAAACGTATGAGCTCTCTGATTGGGAACTTTAGATAGCAACTTACCACCTGCCTCCACCTTCATCCTTTCCAGCCACCCTGGGTCACCACCACCATCTAGGGGATGGCCAAGGAACTCTCCAACCCAGTATCAGGATGGCATTGCCACATTCTTGCCACTGGAATTGCACATGTAATGAAAACAGTAATGCTACTAGTAATTAATAACGGTGGCTAACATTTACTGAGAGCAGTGGTGGGTGTGTGCAACCTCTCTCTCAGTGCTACAGCTTCCACAAGATAGAGGTTGTTCCTATTGTATGAGAAAGGATGAAGCCTATGGAGGATGGGTAATTTGTCAAGGATGGGTAATTACTGGCCGTTTTCACATATACACACACATCTTTTTTTTTTTTTTCCTTTTTGTCTTTTTTCGTGACCGGTAATGGGATCGCAACCCTCGGTGTCGCGCCCGCACCGCGCTCAACCAGTGAGCAGACAGGTCTCTATATGGGATCTGAACCCTCGGCGGGAGTGCCACCATGCTCCCAAGTGCCGCACTCTACCGAGTGCGCCACCGGGCCGGCCCCACACACATCTTTTTTTAAGCTTCCTTTATTCTTCATTTTTTTCTAGTTCTTGCCCAGTTACACGAAATAGAATTCTTTCCCTCCTTTTCATCCTCCATTCCATTTGTGATTCAAAACAAAACCCTAATAACAAAAGTAAATAAGAGTAGTGCTGACATCAGCATCAAGGGAGAGAAAAGCCACAAGAGGCCTTGACCGTTCAAGTTCTTGAAAATCCACCATCAGATGTCCTTTGGAATGTACACAGTGCTTCTCATTCACTTTTGTGTCTTCTTCTAATCAAACTCACTTTTCCTCGAATGCTAATATTCAAGATAATAAAATCCCATTTAATCTTCAATTTAAAATGTCTATTTTAGTTATAAATAATGTAACAACTGAATATAAATAATTGTTTTCTACTATTTCTGCATACCACAGGGATGCTATGTTTTGGGCTAAGCAGGTATTTGTGTTATCCCAAAATATTCTTTCCATGAAAGATGTATTCCAAGTTTCAAACAACTGATTTAGACATAACTTAGAGAATCCTACTTCTTTTTAGGTCAATGACTAAGTTCATTTAGTATGGCCATATAATGTACAATATTTAGTGACTGGTATCCCTGGAGAGAAAACATTTTATGGGAACTAATTGCTAAAAATACTAGTAATGCTGGTAATGCCAATGTGTTTTGAGCTTCTACTAAGTACCAAGTACACTGCCAAGTGCTTTCACGTGGAGGCTGAGGCATAAAACAATGCATTTTGTATTCTTTTTGGAATGTATCTAAAGCATTTAATGGTTTTGTGACAATTGAATACAACGTTTTAAGACTCCTTCAGAATTTTCTAACTGAAATGGTTTAAGTTTTGAGTTTCAGGAAGAGGCAAGTACTTTCACTTTGGGTTAGTTTACAAGAAAATTGGTATTTAAAGAATTTGTGCACTAGAGTCCTCATGTGGAGAAATGAGTGGGGTCTCTTTCACCTAGTAATCCAGATGTTGGGGCAGCTATGGCTCAGCTCCAAGGGTGGGGGTCTACAGCCGGGTGGGCCTGGAGGTTTACTCTCATCCTGGAATTCTCCATGGTCTTCCCAGCAAGTTCTAGGGACCCTTAGGGAGTAGACCTATTCTCAGGTAAGCCCAGGTACTCTCAAAGACCTACTTTTCCTTCTTAGCCTATTTTCTGAGTTCTAAGTGGTCAGTGTTCCTCTTGGGTCCCACATCAAGTTCTGATTTGCTGCTGATGCTCACAGTCTCCATGTGACTAAGCACAGTGAAGCATTCTATCGATGCTTCCTTACAGAGCCTAGAGTTGGACAGGGACCTGAGGTCCTTCAGCCAAGCCCTGGCTTTGTGGGGGTGACTGTCTCACTGACTTAGTGCAGGTGTCTAAGAGGAGCTCTCTAGAGAGCATCCTTGTCCACAGTCTGCCATCCATAGCTATTCCTTAATCATCCCACTTTACCCCTGAATATAAAAAAGAACTCTGGCTTTGTGGGGGTGACTGTCTCACTGACTTAGTGCAGGTGTCTAAGAGGAGCTCTCTAGAGAGCATCCTTGTCCCCAGTCTGCCATCCATAGCTATTCCTTAATCATCCCACTTTACCCCTGAATATAAAAAAGAACGATCTTACAGGAGCCCTATCCAGTAAATCACCAAGTTTGCCTTTCTTCTTGTGGTACAGATCGACACCTCCTACCACACTTGGAAACAGGACAAATCCCATAGAGTTTGGAAGGGATGGGTCCAAATTCCTTCTTTGTACTGGAGTTTGGTTGTTTCAAACATGGCACTGTATGGTTGTTGCAAGGTAATTTGGCTTGCTTCATTGACTGCTGAGGAACAGCACTGAAACACAGGAAGGACCCCATGGTAGGTGCACCCACTCACTTCTTGTAGACTGGTTAAGGTTAGGTCAGCCTTGAGACCCAGCCCAATCTGATTCTGGCCATGGCAGGGCCAACTGCAATCTGTGAACCTTTCTTATCTCCAGGATCTTCTCAAGGTACTCCCTTTCCCTCCTGATCCTTTTAGAATCTGTTGCTCTCCTGAGAACACTACTTCCTCTGCAGACATGTAGTGATGTGATTATTTATTCTTCCATGTCCCAAGGACCTCTGGGTTGAGAGGCTGAAGTGATACTCCCCATAACCCTCCCACTCACCAACAACCTCCTTTTCTCTCCCCTCATTCACTGAGGCCTGTGCCTCTAGATCAGTCTTCCTCTCCAAGCCATTCTCTGCCTTCCCAGGAAGACTTCAGAGGTCACACGGATTACTTGTCCAACACCCTGGCTTCTCAGTTACTTCTCATCTCCAGTGACCTTGTCCTCAGTTCCAACACCCACTCCCTGGACTGCCAAACCTGAAACTGCTCTAAACCACAAATTCACGCATCCTGTTCCCCTGGCCACATTCTCCTCCCATCTGACTCGTTCAGCTATTACTGTGACGACTGTTCTTTGAGTCAACCAGAACACCTAGTTCATGTGGATCCTCCCATCCTCACCTCCTTTCCCTTTCAGTTAAGCCTCCAGTAGCCATCATTTTGGATTACAATTACTCTGTTGCCAGCATCATCAACTTCCTTGTCATTCTGTCTTTTTCTCTTATTGGTGTGGCAAAAATACAACCTGGAAAAACCCAACTATCTGTTTTCTCCATGCGTTCACCTGGGAGATCAGTTACACTAAACTGTTCATGTCCAGCCTCAGTGCTCCACAGGTCTACCAGATTTCTCTGGTCATTGTGCTCTGTCACCTTCTGCTCCAGCTACTTAAACTTCCTATCCTTCTAAAACCACCAACCACCTTGTTCTCAACTTATAACCTTGTCGCCTACTTCCGAGAAGACAGAAGTTGTCTGACAGGAACCTCTCAACTTTCCCTCACAAATCCAGCACACCTGCCGACGTCCATGCGCCCGGCGTCTGTCTATCCTTCCAGTGTGCTGTGAATGCTGGCTCCTCCCACCATCTCAGGAAGCTTACCCTGAGCATCCTTTATCTTCAGCCTCTCACCTGCCGGCAGATTCTTCCCATCGGCATTACAATTGCTCAGGTCTCCTCTGTCTTACAAACAATCCCCCCCTGGCCCTCCCCAGTCACCCCTCTGTTTCTTCCCTCTCTTTCACAGCCTCCTCCTTGAAAGGTTGCTACCTGTTTCTTTTCCTTTCACTTGGTCTTTCAACCTGCTAAACTGCTTTCCGCTCCTACAACTCCACTGAAACAGCTGTCACTAAATTATCAACAACTGAGTTGCTAACTCTGATGGACATTTTTTGCAGACTCATTGTACTTGTGCGGCAGCAGATAAATCTTTGTTCAGCACTTATCTAACCAGCCATTCATTTCCCTGCTTAAAAATCCTTTAAAGACTTCCCATTGCTCTTTGGATAAAGACCCTAATCCTCAACATGTTCGGCTTTCCCCTCGCTGACCCGTCGCCTCATTGTCTCCCTCGATCCCCCAGGTCTGGTGTGTGGCCCTGCCCATGCTGGAGTCTCCACACAGGCCACACGCTGTTTGCACACGCCCATCTTCTTCCTCGCCCTTCAGAGGTCCCTTCCTCAAGGGCTTCCATGGGCTGCCCCAAGTGAGGAGCCCCTGCTGCAGGCTCATCACACCCCATGCTTTTCCTCATAATAGCCTGGTGATTTGGGCATCACTTGTTTTACACCTCTCTCTCTCTCCTACAGACTGTAAGTGCCTGCAGGCAGGGGCACTACCTGCTCTGCTCACGACTGTACCCCAACATCTGGCCCAGCACGGTGAAGAAATGAACAAATCCAACTCCAAACTAGCCTGAGTCCACTCCAGGACGGTTCTGGGAGAAACCTGTGGCACTGAAACGGGTTTTGCTCTATGGGCAATGCTGTTTGGGCTACCACCTTCATGCACAGATACCAGATCTGGTTAATCCAGCCCCATGCTCTCCTGTGCTCCACTGTTCCCTCCTTTTTGGCATACAGCAAACTGCGGCCCAGGGGCCTATCCAGCCACCCCTGTCTTTATAAATGTTTTATTGGAATGCAGCCTCACTCATCTGTTTACATTTTGCAACTATGGCTGCTTTCAGCTACAATGACAGCCATAGCCCAGTAGTGGCAACAGAGACCATATGGCCACAAAGCCTAAGGTATTTACTGTCTGGGCCTTTAAAGAAAAAGTTTGCTGACCCCTTGTATAAAGCATCCAGCAGGACACCTACTGTGTACTGTGGGGAAAATCAAGTAAGTGTGTCATGGTGACAAAGGGGTGGTTCAGGGTTTCAATCGGAGTGATTCTCTTATCAGCATCTATGGTCAGCATCTTCTTTAATAAGTCAATGAACTCCCGCCGGTCTGCCTTTTCCACCAACATGTCGCTCCCTTCCAAATCTGTTGTCATGTTCACCTGGAAATAAGTAGGGACAGGTTACCAAGGACCCCAGTGTGACTCTCCCCTCCCAACTCCCCTCATTCTCCACCCTGCCACTTCCTCTTAATCTCAAGCCCCCCTTCCCACTTTCCACTTCCCAGGAGGCTGTGCTCTGCCTCTATGGAAAGCCCACATGTTGTCACTGCCCACAGGATGTGGCTTTCCTCTCCACAGGAAAGGCAGAGAGAGGCACGCACCCGGAAGGGGAGAAGGCCGCTGCTGGGACCTACAAATCTGTCTAAATGACAGGACGTAAACTGCTCCTGCTTTAATCAGTTAAGTTGAAATGCAGCTGTCATCACACCTCATTAAAAATAACCACAAGATGAAAAGAGTTCTGGAGACTGGTTGCATAACAATGTGAATGTACTTAGTACTACTGAGCTGTACACTTAAGAAAGGCTAAGATGGTAAATTTTATGCTATGTGTGTTTTCCCACAATTAAAAAAAAAGAATCACAATGAAGCAGTGGAAAATAACATGCAAAAAAGGTTTCTTTATTTTAACTTTAGAGGGAATGGAGAGGCCTAAGTGCCCTCTTCATCTACAGTCTATCATCCTTCTTAAGGCTCCAAGTTAGAGCCGGAATTATTTTAATCCCTGTGTTCATTGGGGTCACCTCTGGCCAAGATAGGATACCTGAACACAGGATTTTTATTCCAAGAGCAAGTCTATACTAGGACAGCCTTTTAAAAGGCTTGTTTGGTGGTGCTTTCTGTATTTCCCAAGACATGCTCTGGAAACTAATTTCAGTTTTCTCAGACAATCTAAGCTACTAATCAACTGACAAGTATACTTTACTCAGAATCATGATTTTTGGTTACACTCATCTACAGTAAGAGGTGTGCTAAGTGTTTATTGCTCAATAGATTTCTCTTTGAGGAAAAACTCACTTTGGGTTGCTCTGATTTTAGACTAGTCTTCACACTAAAAATAGCTGAAGTTCTAGAATTTTCTCAGGGGCACAAAGGTGAGAGCCTGTAGTGTCTGCCAGTGAGCTGAGAGAGACTGTGTAGTAGATTGAATTATGTCCCCCCAAAAGATCTGTTCAAGTCCTAATCCCTAGTAGCTGTCACTGTGACCTCATCTGGAATACACAGGGATGAAGGCCATGTGAAGAAGGAGATAGAGATTAGAGAGATGCAGCAACAAGTCAGAGAACGCGGAGGCTGCCAGGACCCCCCAGAACCTGGCTCATCTGGAATACACAGGGATGAAGGCCATGTGAAGAAGGAGATAGAAATTAGAGAGATGCAGCAACAAGTCAGAGAACGCGGAGGCTGCCAGGACCCCCCAGAACCTGGGAGTAAGGCATGGATGCTTTTTCCCTTGGCCTTTGGAGGGAAAAAGCATCCATGATCCATCTTGATTTCAGACTTCTGACCTCCAGAACTGAGAATAAATGTCTATTTCCTTAAGCCATCCAGTCCATTGTACCTTGTTATGGCAGCCCTAGGAATACACTGACTCTTGGGCATTAAACTCAAATGTACCAATGGGCTCGAATTCTTCTCATAAAAGCATCAATAAGATTGGCCAGTACTATTTTACAAATGGGAACCAATAAACTGAAATTTTAAGGAGTCGGTGTAAGGTTTTGAACATGTTCCGTAAGCCAAATGGTATTCTTTTTTTTTTTTCTCCTTTTTGTCTTTTTTCGTGACTGGTAACGGATCGCAACCCTCAGTGTCACGCCCGTACCGGACTGGGACCAGCAACGGGATCGCAACATAAGCCAAATGGTATTCTTTTTTTTTTTTCTCCTTTTTGTCTTTTTTCGTGACTGGCAACGGATCGCAACCCTCAGTGTCGCGCCCGTACCGGACTGGGACCAGCAACGGGATCGCAACCCTCGGTGTTGCGCCCACACCTCGCTCAGCCAGTGAGCGGCCGGTCTGTATGTGGGATCCAAACCCTCGGCGGGAGCGCCGCCGCGCCCCCAAGCAGCGCACTGTAGCAGTGCGCCACTGGGCCGGCCCCCAAATGGTATTCTTATTAAGGCTGGCATATAATTATTTAAGGTCAAGGCCACCTACCACAGTTGAGCAATGTAGATTTCTATCAATTTTCCTATATTACTCTTGTAGAAGGCTCGCTGCACTTGGTTTTTAAAGGGGTTACGTTGCATATTCACCCATGGAGCTTACCTGGGCCATATCATCTAAACAGTTGAAAATGTACTTTCTTGCTTCTTTTGACTTAATCCCTGTCTCTGCTTCATGATCATCTGGTGTCTGTCAAGAGAGGCAAAAGCCAGTTGATAACATACTTATCTCCTAGTCACTGAGACTCAAACCCTGGAGCTCCTGCTTCTTGCAACTTTCAGACAAAGAGACTTCGATTCTTCTTAAAGTGACCTGCACACTAATCCCTTTCTCTGTTCATCTACTCTAACTCATCCCTCTTCCTTCCCATGAATACTTATTGGGGGCCAGCTGTGAGTCAGGTACAGAGGATTCTAACATGAGCAAATTATGCTGCATCCCTGATCACCCTACAGCCTTCTCTAAGTTTAAGTTTTAAAATTTTATTTTATTTAACAAACCCTTATTATACACATAGTTCTTGCTATGTGCCAGGCACAGTGTTACAGCACCTTTACTCATTTAATACTCTTCACAGCCATGTGAAGTAATACGATTATTATTCCCATTTTCCAGGTGGAGAAACAGGAACAGAATGTTTAAGGAACTTGCCAAGGTCACATGGCCAACAGGGGGCAACTGACCCCAGAGTCTGTGTTCTATGCTGCCCATCTGCCTCGGGCTGGGACACAGACATACATTTCCCCCACTGTCTTGGGAACCTGCTCTTTCCAATTGCTATGGGTTTTTGGACTCATCCATGGATCAGAGGTAAAATTAATCCTCAAAATCTCACTTGAGGACGGCACACCTGGAGCAGTGTACATCTTGGGAACAGCTGGACACATAAGCCTGAGGCTTTTAGGTAAAACACAGAAGTGAACCCTGCCTCCTGCCCGGCTTCATCCTCCTCAACCGAAGGATGCTTTTTACTGGACCTGACCTTGACATTCACACTCAGAATTGCCAAATGCCAGGCCTCTTATCAATAGCCTAAGAGGTTTGCTTAGCTCCCAAATCTTTTTTTTCAATCTTTTGTGACTATTGGCCACACATTACCTTTAAACCATATCAGAATTTGGCTGCAGTTTCCATCAAAAAAAAAAAAACCCACCCACCCTCTTGCAAAAAAAGAATCACCTAAAATGAATATAAAACATGCCTAAGACTTTTATTATTTCCTCCTTCCCAGGAAAATACATTAATTTTAATTACTAGGCACAGATCAAAGTGAAAGCAAAATATGTTTCCGTTAAAGTAAAACCACCTAAGAGTTTATGGTGTGCAGCAGTGCACTACACCACCTGCCGGTGGGATGAATTAGACCCTTCCCTGGGGCCTTATGATATGTAAAATGCTTCTTAGCCTATTGCCTTTGCCTGGGAAACCCTCCCTTCTGTGCTGTGCAAAACCCTGTTCATTCTTTAGGGCCCAGCTCAAATGGTCCTTCCTGACCCTGCCACAAGGCAGTGTTAAATGCTCCCTCCTTTTGGCTCCCACACTCTTTTCCTTTTAGAACAGGGTACTTATTACAGTGAGCTAAAGCTTGAGGCACAGGGTCCCATCTCCCTCTGGACTGTGAGCTCCTTGAGGGCAGGGTGTGGTTCATTTCTCTTCCTAGCACAAATCAGACAGTCATCAAGACTTATCAGATTAAGTCCTGGGAGCTCAGCAAGCATAACTTGAGACTCCAGCTTTGCAGGTGGCAGTAGGCCGAGGGAAAGATTTACTTTTTTTTTTTTTTTTTGTCTTTTTTCCGTGTCCGGCAACGGATCGCAACCCTCAGTGTTGCCCCCGTACCGGACCGGGACCGGCAACGGGATCGCAACCCTCGGTGTTGCTCCCGCACCTTGCTCAGCCAGTGAGCGGGAACCGGTCTGTATGTGGGATCCGAACCCTCGGGCGGGAGCGCCGCCGCGCTTCCCAAGCGGCGCACTATCCAGTGCGCCACTGGGCCGGTCCAAGATTTACTTTTGAACGTTCAAATTCTGCCATACCATGTATTAAAAACAAGTCCCCCACGCCCCCCAGTCCCCATAGTGAGACCCAGGATCAACCTGCTGATGTCAAAATCTCTCCATTAATGGGACTATGCCCTTCCTCCCTGAGAGGTGGGAAACTGGAATGGAGGAACAGAGGGGATGCTTTTCCTACCTTCAGCCTCCACAAAGGATACGGCGAGTCTGTGTCACGGTTGAAAAACCTGGTTGTCTTTGTCCCTGCGCTTAATAAATATTCAGCTGGCAAACCCTGTGTTTGTGAAATATACCGAATCTGCAAGAAAAGATGAGAATGAGGTCAGAGGTTTTCCTTTCACCATACATGTGGTATATTAATGGCTCTTGTGGCTTTGAGAAAAATGAAAATGACATTTCTATAGGGAAAGAAAGAAGTTAAAAAAAAAAAAGGAAAAGGGAAAAGAAAGGAATACAGAAAAAATAATAAGGTTAAGGGAAGCAAGGTTTGGGAGATAATGTTAACAACCCATAATCCCATCCATACGTCATGTTATAAATGAAATGCTAATCCATCATATTTTCCAGACGAAGAATGAGGTCTTGTTGTGAATACTGGTGTTATCTGGACTCACCTGATCGTACTCTGAAGCTCCTGGATATAATGGCCAACCTAGGAAAAGCTCTGCAATGACACAGCCCAGGGACCACATATCAATTGCCTCACAAAATGGTAAACCAAGGATGATCTCAGGGGCCCTGAAAAGGAAGAATGGAAGAAACCATGAGCAATTTGGAAGTGCAAGCAGCTATTTTTATATAAATTCTATCTTTCAAACCTGGGGTACCATTACTGACTCCCCTGTGAAGGGCCTGTGGTTCTCAGGAGAGGCACTGCGTTGCAATGATTCTCCATTCTTTGGCTTGGTCCTCGCCATTAGTGGAGGACCCAGTGAGGATGGTTGGCTGAAATAAAGGGTGGGTCTGTGGCTTTAGGACAGACCTATAGGGAACCATGACTATTGACTTCATTACTATTACATTCCAACCAAATGAGCTAATAAACATTTTAGAGATACTTCAAAGTTATCTTTTGTAGCTGAAAATCTAGGACACCAATCTTTAGAGAGTGCTGGTTTTTACAAAGGAATTCTGAAATACAAGTATTCTATTTTCAGGTATATATAAAACAAGCTGCCCCCACCCAAAATAATGGGATTAAATCCAATACCCGTTCATGCTAATGATCCCTTTCTTAGAAATCTGCATCACACTTTTCCAAGGAAACATTACTGTCTTTTTCATTAGCTTCTAAAAAGTTAATCTCCTTAAAAGTTCTCTAATGTTACAATTATAGAACCCTGTTCATGAATACATAGTCTGGGTATCCACCAGAATCCCATTCTAAACTCTGTGAGCAGTGGTTCCTGATTGGAGGAATTAATGTCCCTTTATAATGATACACAAGGTTACATGCTGGAGATGCTGAAGGAAGTAACCTAAACTCAAAGAGAAAATTGCATATGTAGTTGGTAATCAAAGCCAAAGAGACCAGAGTACACCTTCTTTTCTAAGAATTTGTCATGATTAGGTAGGGGTATGTTTTAAAGAAAACCAGGTTCAAACTTGGAGCTAATGAACATAGTTTATTTTTTTTTTTTTAATGTGGCTCAAGGTACTCTGCTGATAATGAAGTGCATTAGCCCAACTTTTGTTTTCTCTGTATATTTCCCACTCCAATAAGTGGTGCCAGAAGAGGCTTCCCCCTGCCCTTCCAGCAGTCTGTAGCGGGAGTGCAGGGAGCTGGGGGACTTTCCTCTCTCCAGGTTAACTTTCACCCACCTAGCACTGTGGGCTGAGATCAGAAACACCTCCACTGGTCTTGGCTCTTCCAGCTGAATTTTTTACCACCTAAAACATATTCTCCATCTTCCCCCTTTAAATTTGTTTTCATTGCTTATTTTTTCCTCTGTATAATAGTAACGAAAAAAAAACCCCCAGAAATGTTACAAAGTTTATTCACTTGCTCAGAGGTGGAGACTCAGCACTGCCATGAGGTGCTCCTGGAGAGCCCACAGGTGTGGGTCTGGGCAGTGAGAGGGAGTTCCTGCCGTGGGTGGAGGGAGTTGCCTTGGTGCTATTTAACAGGCCTTCCGTCATCCCTGTCCCCTCATTGCTGGGCACCTTCAGCTGCTGGTGCTCTGTCTGGCACTTCCCCTCCCCTTGGCCTTCGTCTTCTCCAATCCCAGCTGCTGAGCGTTTGTGTGAGCCTTGGAGGCCACGTTTGCCCTCTGGTATTGATGACCTGGGAGTGCCTGTGGTGGTTCTGGCACATAGCCCTCCTGTTTCATGCGGCCTCGAGCCACACCCCTCCTAGGTCACCTGTGTCCCCTCTTGCCCACAGCCCCCGGCTTCCAGATTCACTATTCACAGCATGTCACTGAGGAGATTATTGACAGACTGCTTCTAGCAGTGCCTTTAGAGATCCTTTCAGTTTATTTAAAAAGCCCCATCCCTTAGAAAAGAAGGTTTGAATATCTGATCAGAACATTACAAAGAAAATGATGGCGTCAGAACCTGCTGCTCTGTCTGCCCTCTTGCTTTAGGGGCAGGCGTGCCCACCTCTGTCCTCTCACATGTGCCCTGGGCTGCCACCGGCTGCAGGCTCACATCTCAAGCACATTCTCACCTCCCTTCCCCATTCCTGTCACCTGCACCTCTGCTAGGCCCCTGCCCTCTTGCAGCCCTGATATTTGGATGTTTGGAGTCGGATCTGGTTCCGTGGGGACTTCTCTGGACTTGACTGTAGGACTGCGCTTCCTATCTAGTTAATCGGCTGGTTCTCATGCCTGGCCTCCAAGCAGGCTGTTTCTAACCTGTGGAAACCCTCTTTTCCAGCTTCTGTTCCCTGGTGCTGTGCAAGGCAGAGTCCAACAACTGATACTGTCACACAAAGGCACCTTAGTGATGTTCTCTGGCAAAAAACACCAGACACAGATTTCGACCACTGACGTGACATGAACATGGCCTGTGAAAATTGCTCATAGCCCACCAAGAAAATGAAGTGGCAGCCACTCATGGTACGTGCAGCAGAATATATTTCTTGCTGTGACCATAAAGGACAAATGCTCTTGCGTCTGACTGGATGCTTGGGACACAAAAGAAACAGAAGCATAGCCCTGTCCATGACGGGCTTCCAATGCTGGGAGCGCAATGCTAAAGCACACATGACAACTAGCACTGAGCATAAAACATGAACAGTGTAAACACACAGACACGAAATACAGCAAACAGAAGCACACAACATGCTCTAGCAGCTCCCATTTTAGAAAACAAAGCAGAACACAAGAACAAAACAAGGCCAAAAAAAGAAAACAGCCCCAAACCACAACACAAACCTTTCCTTAATCCCTTCATCTCCCGCAGCTGTTGCCCTATTTTTCTGCTCCCCTTCCAAGCCCAACCTCTCTGAAGGGTGATCTCGTCCTGCAGTTTCTGCCTCTTCACCTTCCGTTACCTTCCCAGCCTCCTCTAATCGGATGTGGACCCTCTGCTCCGCTGAAGCGTGCACGCATCAGGATCAGCAGTCATCTCCACCATGTCACATCCATTGGTCAACTCCTCAGCTCTGTGACCTGACAGCCACATTTCTTTCACACAATTGACCCCTCCCTCCTGTTCTGAAACAGATTCTTGCTGTGACCATAAGAATAAATGCTCTCATATATCTGTCCCCATCTCTCTCCCTGTATCTGTCCTGCTGTTCTGCTTGTGGCTTGTCCATTTCCTTTGGTGGTTCATCCTCTATCCAACTGCTGCATGTTGGCAAAGTCCTAAGTCCCCTTCACTTCTCTCTTTCCATCCTTGTCCTAGGTAATTGTTATGGGGTAAATTGTGTCCCTCCAAAAGATATGTTGAAGTCCTAATCCCTGTCTCCTCAGAAAGTGACTTTATTTGGGAATGAGGTTGTTGCAGATGTAATTAGTTAAGATGAGGTTATATAGGAGTGGGTGGGCCCTAATCCAATATGACTAATGTCCTTGTAGGAAGAGGGAAATTTGGACACAGACACAGTGGCAAGATGGCCTTGGGAAGATGGAAGCAGAAGTTGGGATTATGCTGCCACAAACCAAGGAACACCTGGAGCCACCAAAAGCTGGAAGAGGCAAAGAAGGAACCTCCCCTGGAGACTCCAGAGGGAGAGTGTCCCTTTTAACACCTTGATTTTGGACTTGAAGCCTCCAGAACTATGAGAGAATAGATACTGGTTGTTTTAAGCCATGCATTTTGAGGTACTTGTTACAGCAGTCCTAGGAAACTGATGCAGTAACCTTACCCAGTCCCACAGGTTTAAGTCCTATTTGTATTTCCAGATTCTGTCTCCATCTTGGAATTCCCTCAGCTCCAGATTTACGATCGACAGCCTGCTATCTCCTCTAGTATGTCTCAAAATGGACTCTCTTCTCTAAACACATTCCTTCCTCCATCCTCCTCATTTGATTGACTAAATGGAATTAACACCTCCCAGCTGCTTAGCTAGAAATCTGGGAATGATCTTTGATTCCTCTCTTTCTCCCTTCATCCTCACCACCCATCAGTATGGCCAGCTCCAGAGTCTATCTCAAATCTGTCCCTGGTTTCCCATCTGCACTGCCACTGTTCTGGCCCTGGCCACCCCTGTCTCACCTGGAGGTTCCTATCCAGCCTTTCTACTTCATCTTTCCTTCTTCCAGAGCAGCCACAGTGAACAGATCACATCTCCCCTTACTTTAAGCCTTCAGAGGTGCCCCACTGCACTGAGAATGAAATCAGAATCCCTCCCATGGCCCATGGGACCTCCACAATTGGGATCCTGTCCACCTCTCCACCGTCATTTCAAAACACTCTTCTAGCTCAGTAAGCCCCAGTCTCATCTGTTTCCTTTCAATTTCTAGAACACCCTAAGCTCTTCTGGACCAAGAGTGTTTGTGGGATTTTGTGGCTTCTGCCTCAAATGCTCTCCCTGCTGGCTCTCAATCAGCCACCTCCTTCTCATCCTTCACATCTCAGCTTAATTCTAACTGCCATAGATAGTTCTCCCTTGACACCAGTTAGTCTCCATTCATAGTGCCACAGATGTCACTTTACTGCAGTTTCCTGATAACCTGTTCACTGTCTGTCTCCCCGGGTAGCACAGTGCCTGGCATTTAGTATCCACTCAATAAGTATTTGAATAAACCCTCGTTAAATATAAACAAGTGCTAAAATATGTGAGTCAGACTGAAAGTTCTAAGGCAGCACAGACAAAGGAGAGTAGAAGGGGTAAATCTTCATGAAGATGAATCAAGTCTTGGGCATGAGGGGCAGGATTTAGCCCAAGGAAGAGCAGGAGCAGAGGCCCAGAGGGGGGCATGAGCATGCCGGCCCACACTCACCTGTGCAGGACACCTGTGTGGGGCAGACAGTGGGGGAGTTGAGGGACACCTACTTGTTTGTGGCTCACAAAAGAATTACCACACAAAAAAGAGGAGTTTGAGGGGGGTTGGAGGTGGCACCAGAGTCATGCAGGGTCAAGACTTGGGACCTCAGAGATTTAGTCTGAACTTCTCATTTGTGGCCATGGTCATTACAGCCTCTAGAGTCTGTCCCTTAGCTCTGTCTTATAGTCATCACCCCACTCAGCTCCCAGCTACAAGCCGAATCAAGTGTTCATCCATCTAGGCCTCTGCTACATCCATCCATGCTCTCTTGCCTCTGGTTCCAACCTTTCCCATTCACCC